ATTCTATCATGACGATGATGATCATTACGATTATTTGGCATGAAGTTTTGCACTGAGAGCAGAAATTCCCGAATCCCTACCCGAGTGACTCGGGGATGGAGGCACGGGAGGCTCCCTCCCAGCCCGTCTCCTGCTGTGCAGCTGCTGGAATCCATGGCACTCCCAGGGAAAAAACCGTCCACACGGCAGGTAGGCTCCACCTGAACCCAGGTAACAGGCTCGGGAGGATGCTCCTTCCCTCTGCCTCCCTTGCAGAGCTTCCGTGCATGTGGGGTCATGAAGCAAGGTATTGCTGCAAACCAGCCTCTCCCCGCCTCATTCTTCAAGGACAGTCCAGCATCCCCAGGGTCGCCGCCCAAAATGCTCTCGGGGGGCCAGCGATTTCACCTTCCCAACTGCACATCCATGAGGCCAGCGGATGTGCCTCACCTGACTCCCACCAGAACGCCATGTCACAGGGGACCAGAGCGAAGGAGCAGAGGAAGGAGCCAGCCGCCTCCGGGCCCTTCGTGCATGAGGCCGACAAAGCCCTCAAACTCCACCACTCTTCTCCCTAAGTTTTTGTTATTTTGGAAATTACAGTCATTTTTTATTTAATAAATATACACTGTGCAGTCAAAGGTTACCAGGGTCCCATAAGGAGACGTAAGTTTTAGTGACCCCGTGCACAGCATGGCAGCTGTACTTAATAGCATATTACATGTTTCAAAATAGCTAAAGGAGCTTTTCAATGTCTTGTGTGCAGTGTTTACTGCTCGGGTGACGGGCGCACCAAACTCTCACAAATCACCAAAAAACTCACTCATGTCACCAGACACTGCCTGCTCCCCAATAACCGATGGAAACAAAACCATAAAATGACTGCAAGAGATTTTAAATGTTCCCACAAAAGAAAAATAGCAGGTGATGGATGTTAGCTTGATTTAATTTTCCACAACGCAAATATACAGCAAAGTATCACACCACAGCCCATAAATGTACACATGTACACATACAGAAAACAAGAAATGGTTTTAACTGACCTCTAAATTATATAAAGATAACCTATTCATACTTTGTATTTATAGAAAAATATAAATTATTCTAAATATATAAATATGAATTTTATGAAAATAAAATATATAAAAAATAAATATATACATACTTTTTTTGGTAGTAACAGGTAATCTGCCTGTTACCATTACTTTTAAATAAAGTATTAAATATGTTTTAAATTTCTTTTTTAATGTCTTTTTTTTTTTTTTTTTGAGGCGGAGTTTCGCTCTCGTTACCCAGGCTGGAGTGCAATGGCGCGATCTCGGCTCACCGCAACCTCCGCCTCCTGGGTTCAGACAATTCTCCTGCCTCAGCCTCCTGAGTAGCTGGGATTACAGGCACGCGCCACCATGCCCAGCTAATTTTTTGTATTTTTAGTAGAGACGGGGTTTCACCATGTTGACCAGGATGGTCTCGATCTCTTGACCTCATGATCCACCCGCCTCGGCCTCCCAAAGTGCTGGGATTACAGGCGTGAGCCACCGCGCCCGGCTTAATGTCTTTACAGGATGAATTATTGACTGTTATAACCCACAAAAACTGCTGTCTCATTTTTTTGAAAAGGATTCTATGATGAAGATATTGGAGCCCAGGTGAGGTGGCTCACTCCTGTCATTCCAGCACTTTGGGAGGCTGAGGCGGCCAGATCACCTAAGGTCGGGAGTTCGAGACCAGCCTGGCCAACATGGTAAAAGCCAGTCTCGACTAAAAATACAAAATTAGTGGCGCGTGGCGGTGCGTGTCTGTAATCTCAGCTACTCGGGAGGCTGAAGCAGGAAAATCGCTGGAACCCAGGAGGCAGAGGTTGCAGTGAGCCGAGATCGCCCCATTGCACTCCAGCCTGGGCAACAAGAGTGAAACTCCGTGTCAAAAAAAAAAGAAAAGCAGTTGGAAAACTGCTGTTTTTACTTCTACCTCATTCTAGTAGCCACTGTTCACTATTCATAAAACCAACGAGAATTAACTTTCCCTTTATAGGTTAAAAAAAGTTTGAAAACTAGGACTTCTATAAATAGCTTTAGAAGTGGGCCAGTTGGCATACTTTCTGTAAATACTCACTCCCGTGGTACAGCATTTACGAGTCCATCTTCCATCCCAGAACATGAAGGAATATTCTGTGGCCTATTATTTACTACAGGACTTTTAAGAAGATTCTGTGCAGTGTTGGAACTGGACTTCACAACAGGCATCAACAATTTTCTCTCCTTTTCAAAACGCATTGATGTGGCAGAGAAAATGTAAGTCCTAAACAGTTCACCCTGTGATTAACACTGGTGGGGAGAGAAGTGCTTTACTCAATGGGAGCATTTTCAACGGATTTCAGGCCATATCGACATTCAAGTGTTGATGCCATATTAGGATATTAAATACACTGATTAAATCACCTATTTTAAAATCCCCCCAACAGATAGATACACGTTACTGAATGGGCCATGTGGATGGTCTTAGAAACTCAGAGACAGACCCTCTTAGAGGAATTCTGGATTTGCTTTTCGACCCCCTCTGTAAAGACATGATCAATATCAATGATTAATTTGTAATTATCTGGTTTTTCCACGATGGGCTGTAAGAAAACACCATTCAGGAGGAGTGGATTCCACCAGCAATTTCTTCCTTCTCACACAGTCTAGGTCATAAGAGAGCTAAGAACCCACTCCATTTGGAAATTCTACGAAAAAACTGCCATGGCTTCCAGTCTGCGGTGGGGAAATTGGCCCTCTTGGATATTCAAACAGCTTTAGCTCAAATGCCCTGGACAAAGTTCGTTTCCTGGTCAGCAGCGAAAGCCTACCGGTTAGAAGCAAATGCAAAATGCCGTTTAGCAAGCCAGCCACCCGCAGACAGAGGAAAAGGCCATTCCTCCACCAGTATCGAAAATTCTTTTTAATCCATACACAGGAAGCGGCAGGATCACGGCAAGCTAGGAAAGTTAATCTTTAGAGAAGGCCATTCTGTTCCGACACTCCCAGGGTACAGAGTCCCCTGGCAGACACGTGACCTCACTCACCAGCAGCTGTAACAACTGTTTAATCAGTAAACCGAGAGGGGAAAAAATAAGCATGCAGCCCTCCTTTCTCCGCACAAAGAGCAAGCTTTTCAAAGGCCAGCATTTCGGTGGGCTGCCGCAGGGGCCCTGACGTGTTCCAACTGAACTCTCCATGCAATGCTGCCTCTTCGCCGGGGCACACACAGGCCGCGAAGGAGGTTTAATGGGACCTTTCTGTAAGCAAAACTGCCCAGATAAACATAATCTGCAAAATTGTTCCCCCGCTGTAAACACTTCACCTTGCAAATGATTACTTCCTTCAAACAGACGCGCTCTCCCGACCTCCCCAGGCCTGAGTACAATTCCTTCTCTGCAGTTCTAATTATGCTAACTGGGTTACTGAAGGCCAGTCTGGCAGAAAAACAAATGCTTCACTCACAGAAAACTTAAAGCTCTTTTTCTCTAGCTACAGAGGCGGGAGAAAGTGAGTCTCATTTAAAAACATCCACCGCCAGCACTTTAGGGAGGCCGAGGCGGGCGCATCACTTGAGGTCAGGAGTTTGAGATCAGCCTGGCCGATATGGTGACATCCCGGCTCTACTACAAATACAAAAATCGGCCTGCCGTGGTGGCAAGCGCCTTTAGGTCCCGCTACTCGGGAGGCTGAGGCACTAGAATCGCTACAACCCAGGAGGCAGAGGTTGCAGTGAGCCGAGATCGCACCACTACACTCCAGCCTGGGTGACAGAGCGAGACTCTGTCTCAAATAAATAAATAAATAAATCCACTCCAGGCAGGCTTCTCAAAATGTGGCCCTGGGACCCCTGGGGGTTCGCTCTGTGGGTACATAGTGGAAGCTGAAAGTCATCTCACAACAAGGTACCTATGCTCTTCCACCTGGCTAACCCCCAGTCCCCGACAGGCCTCCTGACTTGCCATGAAACCTTCCACCAGCACAGGCAGAAATAACAGCTGTCTTCCTAGGCAAGACATTGAAGACACGCCCTACAATGTATGGTCCACCACACTACCCTCTGAGCACTCTGTTGAGGAAAACTGTTACTTTTGAAACAAAGTGTCATTTAACCTAATATAGAATTAACACTCCCTTGATACCAATTCACAAATAATTGCTTACAGGTTTCTAGGTGTCAATTGAGACTATGGGCTCGGCACAGTGGCTCGTGTCTGTAATCCCAGCGGTTTGGGAGGCCCAGGCTGAAGGACTGCTGGAGGCCACAGGTTTGAGACTAGCCCGGGCAACAAGGTGAGACGCCATCTCTACAAAAAATTTAGAACAGCGGCTGGCCGTGGTGGCTCACGTCTGCAACCCTACCACTTTGAAAAGTCAGGCAGGAGGACTGCTTCAGCCGACAAGTTCAGACGAGCTTTGGCAGCAGAGCAAGACCCTATCTCCAGAAAAAATTTTGAAACATTGGATGGGTGTGGCAGCTCACACTTGCAATCCCGGCACTTTGGAAGGCCGAGGCAAGAGGACCGCTTTGGCCCGGGAGTTCCAAAGCAGCCTGGGCAACACAGCAAGGCTTTGTGTGTACTTCCTATTTTAAAAAGAAAAAATTTTTTTTGTTTCATAAATTCTGGGCCGGGCGAGGTGGCTCATGCCCGTGTTCCCAGCACTTTGGGAGGCCGAGACAGGTGGATCACCTGAGGTCAGGAGTTCGAGACCAGCCTGGCCAACATGGTGAAACCCTGTCTCTATTTAAAAATAATAATAAATAAATAAATTGTGAACATGTAAATCTCTGAATAATCTACGTAGACGAAACACAGTAAGGGCCTCACTGATGTGCTGAGACAGCGAACGGGTCCTGCAAAGTTGCAGTGACTCAGAGATGTTTACACAGGCAGTCACAAACGAAGTTGTCGCGTAACGGGCCTGCGCTGCCCCCCGAGACGTCCGTGGCTCCCCAGTGCCCCCGAAGCCACCCCCTCGGGTGAAAGGCCCGTCCTCACTTACCCTGGGGCGGGTGCGGGTGGAGGTCCCCGGGTCGTCCCCTCCTCCCGTCCTGGGCCTGAAGGGCGTGCGGTCACCGGCCGACCCCGGGCGGCGGGCGGAGCCGCGCGAGCTGCGGGGCGCGGGGCGTGCGGGCCCCGGCCATGCCCGGGAGGTGTCGGGGTACCGGGTGGGGTTGCGCGGGGGTTTCTCGGTGGGAGTCCCGCCCGGGGCAGGCGGGGAGGCCACGCGCGCGCGGAGGGAACGGCCGGGCCCGGCCCGGCGCCGGGAGCGCGGGGGAGCCGGGCAAGGGGGACCGGAAGCGCGGGGCCGGAAGGTCCCAGGCGCGCACGCCCCCCACCCCGGACCCCGACCCGCGACCCCACCGCGACGCTCGCCCGGCCCCACTTCCGGGAGCGCCCCCACTGGAGCGCGCGCGCCACAGCCCCGCCAAGGTCACGCGGAGCCCCCGCGCCCCCGCCCCGCGCCCCGCGCCCCGCGGGTCCCCGGAGCCCCGACCCCCGCCCCGCCGCGCCCCGCTGACCTGGCTCCGGGAAGCCCCCTCGGCAGCGCCGCAGCAGCTGCTCCAGGATCACGACGGCGCCGGCTGCGTAGACCCGCAGGGCCGCCCGCAACGCAGACAATGGCGACATGGCTGCCCCGCCAGCGCCGCAGCCGCCGCCGCTTCCGCGCCGCCCGCGGGACTCTGCGCCCGCCCGGACGGCCGGCGGAAATGCGCGCGTCCCGGCCCGCCCCCGGCCCGCCCCGGCCCGCCCCGGCCTGCGGGGACCCTCACCCCCCGTCCGGGCCCGCTGCCACACCGCACGCCTGCAGGACCAGGGACCCTGCACGGACCACCGACCTCAGCCTGGAATCCCCCCTAGATGCACAGACCCCAGCCAGGACCCCGCAGGACCACACACCCCAGCCGGGAACCCCCAGGACCACACCCCAGGCAGGACCACACACCCCAGCCAGGACGCCCCCAGGACCACGCACCCCAGCCAGGACCCCCGCCCAGGACCACAGACCCCAGCAAGGACCCTCCCCCCCAGGACCACAGGCCCCAGCCAGGACCCCGCAGGACCACACGCCCCAGCCGGGACCCCCCAGGACCACACGCCCTAGCCAGGACCCCCCCAGGACCTCAGACCCCAGTCGGGACCCCCCAGGACCACACACCCCAGCCGGGACCCCCCTCGCCAGGACCTCAGACCCCAGCCAGGATCGCGAAGGACCACACACCCCAGCCAGGACCCCCCCGGGACCACAGACCCCAGCCAGGACTCCCCCGGGACCACACACCCCAGCCGGGACCCCCCCGGGACCACACACCCCAGCCAGGACCCCCGCGGGACCGCAGTCCCCAGCCGAGACCCCGCAGGACCGCACACCCCAGCCGGGACCCCCCAGGACCGCACACCCCAGCCGGGACCCCCCAGGACCGCACACCCCAGCCGGGACCCCGCAGGACCGCACACCCCAGCCGGGACCCCCCAGGACCGCAGTCCCCAGCCGGGACCCCCCAGGACCGCAGACCCCAGCTGGTACCCCTCCAGGACCGCAGACCCCAACCGGGACCCCCACACACACAGGACCACAGACCCCAGCCAGCATCCCGCCACAGGACCACAGACCCCAGCCAACATCCCCCCACAGGACCACAGACCCCACACAGGACCCCCAACACCCCGGGACCATTGACCCCAGCCAGGAACCCTCACCCCTCAGGACCACAGACTCCAGCCAGAAACCCCCCTGCCAGGACCACTGACCCCAGCCAGGACCCCAACCCTCCAGGACCACAGACCCCAGCCAGGACCCCCCCAGGACCACACACCCCAGCCAGGAAGGACCACAGACCCCAGCCAGGACCCCCCAAAACCACCTACCCCAGCCAGGACCCCCCCAGGACCACACACCCCAGCTAGAACCTCCTTACAGGACCACAGACCCCAGCCAGGACCCCCCTCCCAGGACCACAGACCCCAGCCAGGACCCTCCCCCTAGGACCACAACCAGGACCCTCCCCCTAGGACCACAGACCCCAGCCAGAACACCCTCTCACCACCAGGACCACAGACCCCAGCCAGGATGCTCCACAGGACCACAGACCCCAGCCAAGACCCCCCTAGGACCACTCGCCCCAACCAGGAACCCCCAGGACCACTCACTCCAGCCAGGACCCCCCCAGGACCACTCACTCCAGCAAGGAAACCCCACCCCACCAAGACCACAGACCCCAGCTAGGACCCCCTCCCAGGACCACAGACCCCAGCCAGGACCCCCCAGGACCACTCTCCCCAGCCAGGACCCCCCCACCCCCGGACCACTCACTCCAGCAAGGGAAACCACACCTCCACCCAAGCACCACGACCCCAGCCAAAATGCCCGCAGGACCACTGATCCCAGCAGGGAAACCCCACCCCACCAAGACCACAGACCTCAGCCAGGACCCCCCTCCCAGGACCACAGACCCCAGCCAGGATGCTCCACAGGACCAGAGACCCCAGCCAGGACAACCCCCAGGACCACAGACCCCAGCCAGGATGCTCCACAGGACCACAGACCTCTGCCAGGACCGCCCCCTCCCGGACCACAGATCCCAGCCAGCACCCAACCCAGATCCACAGACTCCTCCCAAGAATCCCCCCCAGGACCCAGGACCCTGCTGGGACCACATCCAAGACCACAGATTCCCCCACTGGGGTACCCCCAGACAACAGGCCCCCTCCGAGAAGCCCACCAGAACCACAAACCTCCCCTGGGCCTCCACCAGGATCACAGGCTCCTATTGGGACCCCCTTCAGGACCACACACCTCCACCAGGACTCCCTAGGACCACAGATCCTCCCCAGCCTCCCCCCACCCCCTACAAGGACCACAAACATCCACTGGAGCCCCCACTACCAGGACTCCTCTCCAGGATCATAGACCCCCACTGGAGCCCCTCCCAGGACCTCCTCCTTCACCAGAAACTCCCCAGCACCACAGGCCAAACCCCCTAACCCCAGGACCACAGACCCCAGCCAGCACCCCACGAGACCACAGACCCCAGTCAGGACACCCCTCAGGACTACAGACTCCAGCTGGGACCACCTCCCCAAGACCCCATACCCTAGCTGGGACCCCATACCCTAACCAAGACCATGGAACCTCATTCAGACCCCAGCCAGGACCTCTACCGTGGGACCAAGATCCCCGACCCAGAGCCCACAGGGCACCGGGACCACTATGGGCGCCACATTCCCCCAGCTGGATCTTAGCCAGAATCATGGGTCTCACCCAGACCCACACGACCCACACCAGGATTGTGGGGCAGGACTCCCACAGAGGACTCTGGACTACTGCAAGGACCTTGCACCCCACACCCCACTTCCTACTGAGACCATAGACCCCACCCCAATTCCTGCCAGGCCACAGACACCACCCACCGAACCCATCCCTACACTGCCCTGTGCCCCGCAATCCTGCAGGGACCACAGACCCCGACCCTGGCTCCTGCAGAGAACTCCAGACTACCCCAGGGACCACGAACAACCCCCTTCGCCATCCTGATCCCTACTGGGACAGCAGACTTGTACTTAGACCTTGCATGGGAACCCCAGATGACCACAGACTTACCTGGACTCCCTCAGGGAACCCCAGAGCACCACAGAGCCCCCATCCAGACCCTTGCCAGGGAAAGGCTGAACCCCACAAGGGCCCCCCACCCAGACCCTTACCGGGGACTGGCTGAACCCCACAAGGGCCCCCCACCCAGACCCTTACCGGGGACAGGCTGAACCCCGCAAGGGCCCCCAACCCAGACCCTTGCCGGGGACAGGCTGAAACCCCCACATGGACCCCTCACCCAGACTCCTGTTGGAATTCTTCATGGATTTCCCCACCCAGACACACTATGACCCACAAGGACACACCCAGACCTTCACCCCACCACAACCCTCCCAGTCCCACACCCAGTCCTCCAGAGGACCCCAGACCTGGCATCCAGGACTCCACACAGATCATAGCACCTGCTATGTTTAGAGGCAGGAGCCTCAGAGAGCCAGAGCGACATCATTTTAATCAACTCCGTCTTAAAAACTAGGAAGTCACATTCCTTGCCAGCCACGGCCTGTGGTCATGAGATGTTTACAACAGAAGAAATGGCTTAATAATGCCTTCCATGACAAAAAACTCTACACAGACGACAGCAGAATGTCTGGATATCACCATGTCACCTGACTATGCTTTTAAAGATAATTACAGTCATGCTTTGACATGCTTGGCCACGAAAATGCAGAGTGGCTCTTTGTAAATCAACAAAGGAATGAATGTCACCCCGTCAGCTTACCTGCGTGGACCATAACCTAGCTTTTACGTAGATAAGACAGACCCCTATACACGCGAAGTTTAAAACAAACACAACGTATTACACCTCTGTAATGGAATAGCTTTTTTTGTTTGTTTGTTTTTGGGATGGAGTCTCGCTCTGTTGCCCAGGCTGGAGTGCAGTGGTGCAACCTCAGCTCCCTGCCACCTCCACCTCCAGGGTTCAAGCGATTCTCCTCTCTCAGCCTCCTGGGTAGCTGGGATTGCAGCATGCACCGGCATGCACAGCTGATTTTTGTATTTTTAGTAGAGATGGGATTTCACCATGTTGGTCAGGCTGGTCTCGAACTCCTGACCTCAGGTAATCTGCTCACCTCTGTCTCCCAAAGTGCTGGGATGACGGGCGTGAGCCACCGCACCAGCCTGTAATTGAATCGTTTCTAATAAACTAAAACTTTCCTGTATTGTTTTTCTTTTTTTGAGACAAGAGTCTCACTCTCTCGCCCATGGTAAAACCCCAAATTGGTGTGTTTTCCTTTGTTCTTTGTACAGTCGTGACAAGATGGCTAGCGAGGGTACCGTTCCTGCAGTCCAGGAGGTAAAAATTGCATTGCGGAAAGATCCTTTGTGTCAGCGCTGATTCTTCTTTGCAGCACCGAGCATCTATTTCCAACAGACAGCACGGGGAGGAGGTGCTCGGTAGAGGGACTTAACCCTACTGGAAGAGAGAAGGGTATTGTCGGCATGGGGGGGCCTTGTCCTTTGAGCTTCTGGTTGACCCAGGGCCAACTTCCCCACCACCCATCCTAAGCCGAGTGTCAGGAGCTCCTGAAACTCTTCAGAGTCTGCAACCATGCTTTCTGTTAATGTCCCTCAAATCAGAAAATAATATATGTATATAATAACAATAATGAATGTAAATCATGCACACAGTCCAGAAAATACGTCTTTTTAGCAGCACAGTCATAAGATGTATGAGGTCTCAGTCTGTTGCTCAGGCTGCAGTGCAGTGGTGCAGTCTCGGCTCACTGCAGCCTCCGCCTCTGGGGTTCAAAGCATCTGGTTTTTGTTTTTGTTTTTGAGAGCAAGTCTTTGATTTCTGTCGCCAGGCTGGAGTGCAGTGGCTCACTGCAGCCTCCGTCTCCCTAGTTCAAGTAATTCTCCTCCCTCAGTCTCCCAAGTAGCTGGAATTACAGGTGTCCGCCACCGTGCCCCGCTCATTTTTGTATTTTTTAGCAAAAACACGGTTTCACCACGTTGGCCGGGCTGGTCTTGAGCTCCTGGCCTTGTGATCCACCTGCCTCAGCCTCCCAAAGTGGTGGGATTATAGGTGTGAGCCACCACGCCAGGCCCCAAACATTTTCCTGCCTCAGCTTGTGAAGTGGCTAGCA